AATGGAATGGTCCCCTTGCTGCTTAAGTCTTCCCTCCTCTTGAACAAGCATGTTGGACAATTCATCCACATTCCACTTGTCCTTAATGGTGTTGTAGTTAATTTGGAACGGTCCATACTGAGGAGGCAAAGAGTTCAAAATAAATTGAACAAGGAATGACTCATCCACACTCATCCCCAGGGTCTTTAGTTTTGCTGCTACATTAGTCATTTCAAGAACATGCTCACGCATGCCTCGTGTACCATCAAATTTCTTGGTGGTAAGCTCAGCCATTAATGTCCCTGCAAGGGACTTGTCAGCAATCTTGAAACGATTTTCAACATTCTTCAAGTATTCCTGAGCGGTTTCAGCTTGAGGAAGCGTAGTCTTTATGTTGTTTGCTACAGTCATTCGCATAAACATAATGCTCAATCTATTCGATCTTTCCCAAGCCTTATGGAAAGATTTTTCTTCACTGCTGCTATTGTCAGTGAGAGCAGCAGGTTTCTCAGTTCGGAGTGCTAAATCAAGATCCAGAACACCTAAGTGAAACTGGACTTGTTCACACCAATCTGAGAAATTTGTTCCATTAAGTTTTGGAATAGATGGAGCAAGCGAATGAAGCGAAACAGGCACTGACACTGCAATTAAATGCTCACAACATTAATCCTTTGAGTTATCAACATGTACACACAAAAATAATAATCAGAATTACATACGTAATCTGACAATCAGCAAATGTATCATCACAATTCTCCTTTGGGTAGATACCATGACAATACCATTAAACAATTAGGATGCATTTATATCACATTATTGGCAACTATATATCCATAATTAGGCAAGCTTTGCTATCTTTGGATATCCAAAACTAACCCAAATAAAGCACATCCAGATTACCACAGTTATATCAACAATCATCAGAATAATTGATCTACCTTTGGGTGACCCATAAACATCTCATGACTATTGAAAATCAACGTACCCATGTCAAAACCTTTAACGAAACATAACAAGGTTCCATTCATTTATATGCATCATCTTACCATGAGTAATTGATTGATTATCATTTAATTTGAATTCATGGGACTTTCTAGTTTGGCCACTTTGGTGACTAACAAACAATTCATGATATGAATATCAAATTAATTGAACAACAATGATATTGATAAGCAATAAACATGCGTCACTTACTGAACCCATAATATTTATATTCACTACAAATCATATTGCTTAGATACTCATGCAATTCTTGTATAAAGTGATTTGACATTAATTTACAATGAAGAACCCACAGCAACAGCCCACGACAACAATTATTAATTTTATAACCAGTCACCGTTATAGAAATCAAGGTCAATCACGCAAACACAATCTGTTCTTTCATAGTTCGATTATTAATAAATCAAACCTTATCATCGTAAACAAAGGAAAATCATGAGAGTTCTCAACCACGCTCTGATACCAAATGTAAAACTTTAAATATTGAGTGAAAACATAAAACCCAATAACTTACAGAATCGTGAACCTCATGACTATCACAATAACTTCCGGCGGAAACTTAATAAGTAATATGCGTACCTTGATCCATGACTTCAAGCAAAGAAAAATATCAGGATTGTTGTGAGCCGTTGTATAGAGGAAGCGGTGTTTCTCTCTCTAGCCTTTTGCACGTTAGAATCGAAAAAACCCTAATACGTGTTTTTCATTAGTGTACACATAAGATGGGTATGTGCACTATTATAGGCAGAGAGAGGACCCGTTTCCTAGTCAAGCCCATAATCAATTACCACCTATCACAGTAATAAAATAGGAAACCACTTCTCTTTATTTGACCAAATTATTCTGAATAATATTTATTAAACCAATTAAACACTTTATTTACCACATAGATCACTTCATGTGGGCCACATAGAATATTTATAAAATATTCTTACACCCATCTGGCAAAAAGATGTTTTAAGGAATGAAGGGGAGGAAAGGCCTTCCATGAAAGAAATAGCCGTGGAGCTTGAGGGTATATTGCGCAATTTTATGGCAGTGGCAGAGCATCAAGGGGGAGAACCTAGTTTCTCTTGATCTCCCAAAACAGACCAACCACTTCGCCACATTTAAATGTATGTGTGTATTAGTGTTGTTTCACCTCTGGACATTTGATGACTTGTGTTAGTTTCTGTTTATATTTGTGCTTATAGTTTTTTCTATGTCTACATATCATGTGAAATCATGTTGATGATGTTCAAATGGCAAGTTATTTAACTTATTTTCAAGCTGTATCTCACTATGTTGGACCGGTATAATATATCTGATAGGACAAAACTAGCTTTTATAATAATTGGCTGGTCTGAGATAGCAGTGGATAAGATAAAGCTTTGGAATGAATGCCCCTTATAATTCTACCACCTTCAGTTTCAGCCTTGTCCAAATTCCCCCTCTTTCTTACTCTCCCTTGTAGAAAGTTTTAATTACATAGCAATTTGCGTGTTACACGTGAGCTCTATTCTTTTTGTTTTTTTAATGGTCATCTGGGTCAGCAACCAGAAGATTATATATGCCCGGAATCTTTTATTATATTTTTTTTTTCTGGGGGTCATTTTAGCCACAATTATTGTTCACGGTTAAGTCGACCCTGATTCACTACACTGTAGTAGGAGGGTAGACAAAAAAAGACTTGGGGATAAGGTTGATCGTATGTCAACACTAAGTCACAGATTATTTTATATAGCAAATAATTGTTGATCTAGACTCTAGTAAGGAGTTCATGGCATTTACTTATCATTTAAGGAACTTAAAAAGATTTCTAAAAGAGAGACCGGAGAGATTGCCATATGGGTTAAATGCTTTCTGAATTTCTTTATGTACTTCCTCGCTAGTCATATAAGTCACTACTACATTTTACTATTTTCACGACGAGACTTTGCACGACGAAGACAAATTCGTCACGCAAGCGTCACTGATGCGACGGAAGAACAGATTCGTCGCACAAAACTACAAACTCTTGCGCGACGCAAAATTTTGTCGCGCAAAGTGGGGAAGAAAAACCTGGGAATTTTTTTTGGCACCAAACATTTGCGCGACGATATATTTCGTCGCGCAAGATTCCATGGCGCGACGCTTACATTTTTCGTTGCGCAAAAGTGGACAGGAAAAACTGCGATACGGATTTTTTGGCTGGAAACTCTTGCACGACGGAAATTTGTTCGTCGCGCAAGGTTTGACAAGAACATGAAGAAGACAGGGATGCTGATTTGGACTTTATCCTCTCTACTTTTCCCTCGGAGCTTCGAATCCAAATTAAAAGTTACATGCCTATCACTAGGTTGAAGCAAGTAAGTTCCTCCAGATCCATGACTCTAATTAGTTAGTAGCCTTTCCATATATATAATCTCACAACTTCAATTCTTCTGAATTAATTAATGGGGTTTTACCATAAAAAGACAAAATATTAAAATAGTCCAGCCCTCCAAAATTAGACAAATTGGTCAAGTCAATGTATTTCATATCGCTGTTGAACGGTAGCTGGACTAGCTTGTCCAATTTTAGAGAGGCTGAATTATTTTAACATTTTATCTTCTAAGAATAACATTTTAAACAATTTTTGAAATAATTCTCATTCATCCTAGAACTGATCTTTTTTTAGGAGGACTAATAATTATGTAGAAGATTTTTAATTTCTCTCCTCAATAATATATTTATTAATTAATTCTAAGGTGCCAATATTTCAAGACATGGATGAAAGCGTGTTGAAAGCAATCTGTCGGTATCTTAAGCCAAAGAAGTACACTAAAAACGATATCATTACTCAAGAGGGTGAACCACTTAAAATGATGCTCTACATTGTGGACGGATTTGTAAACATTGAAGAAAGAGATGGTTCTAATAACTTGCAACGAGGTGCAGGAGAAGTATATGGAGAAGAACTTCTAAGTTGGCCATTGTCGAACTCATTTCCCGTGGTATTACCGTCAGCAACGTTGTCTGCTACGGCAGTAGGTGATGTTGTAGCCCTTGCTCTCACTTATAGCAACTTAAAGAATGTGGTCTTTGAATTCGGAAGGCAATATTTCTTTGGGATGATTACATGTCAAAAATTTAGTGCAAAAGTAGTTGAAAAGGCAACAAACACTTACGATGTAAGTAAAATCATCAGAAAAGGAATCTCTACAAGCGTTTACAAAGGGGTGCTACCAGATAAAACAGTGGTTGAGGTAAAGACATACAGAGTAAATTGTTCCTATGATGATTATCCATATTTGGTTAAACTGGTGGCTGTTGCTTCTCGTACCAACCACATAAATTTGGTGAGGCTCTTGGGTTGTTGTTTGGAAAAAAAAACAATTGCACTGGTTTCTGAGTACATTCCGAATGGCACTCTTTTTGAACACATTCATGGAAAAGAAGGCAAAGTATCATCACCACTTTCATTGGAGTTACGAATGAAGATAGCATCAGAAACCGCAGGAGCCCTAGCTTACTTACGCTCATTAACTACCACGCCAATCTTACCCTCTTTTGTGTCGACAAGTAGTATACTTTTGGATGATAATTGCACTGCAAAGTTGTGCAGCTTTGGACTTAGATTTGTGCCCAACAATAGCAACAATAGCCGGTTTTCATTGTTATCTATAAGGCGAGGATGCTTCGACCCTGAATCAAAGACACTAATTGAAAAGCTTGACGTCTATGGCATTGGAGTTGTCCTAGCGGAGCTACTAACCGGTCCGAATGCAATTTCTTCAATCGGGAAGCGTGACTTGGAGAAGCTGAAAATCTTATTTCTATTTCTAGTAGAAGAGGATCGCTTGAATGAAATTCTCGATGGTAAAATAATAGTGAAGGAAGGAGATTTTGAGACAGCCAAAAAAGTGGCCCATCTGGCAACAAGATGTTTAAGGTATGAGGAGGAGGAAATGCCTTCCATGAAAGAAGTAGTCGCGGAGCTTGAGGGAATATTGCGCAATCTCAGGGCAGAGCAAGGTGGAGAAGCTAGCTTCTCTTGAAGGTACATTTGTTAGTTATAGATGAAACAACATTGGTCTGTAAATCAAACAATATTTTTTAGAATTTTGAATGTTTGACTATTTGAGACATTACCTTTGTGTGTATATATATATATTATATTATATTAAGTTTTTTCTATGAACATTCCAACTAAAAATAGGTCCATCACGTGGGTGCTCGGCTTTCTCGTGGGGCTCGCTTGGGTTTTGATTTTTTTCGTCAATGGGCTTGAAACTTAGGTGCCCCAAAACAGGTCCATTGGACATGGTTTTTAGGCTCCGGTGTGTAAGTGCCAAGTCCGTGATGGTTGTTGAGGTCAATAAATTGTTTTAAAATAAATGTCCCTAGATCAATTTCCAAAATAATGAAGTAAAATTCGTAACCAACATAAAAAAAAATTGAAGTAAAATTGCTTTTAAAATGAAAGTCAAAAAATTTGTTTGAATTTTCAAATGCAATTGCAATTATGAAGTTTTAGTCAAATAACAATTGGCATGCTACGTATGAGGTTTTTTTTTTTTTTTTTTGGGGAGTCATTGTTGAGGTTTAGTTAATTACAAATTTTCTGGTCTTTCATTGTGTTTTTAGGATCACTAGTGGGAAGCTAATGGGGTCTAATTCAGTGAGAAATGACCTTAATCTGCAGATAAGAAGTCTTAGATTCGAATCCCCATCACATTTTGGTTGTGTGTGTGAGACACTTTCCTCCTATATAGTTTAGACTATCACTTATACTAAAAAAAGAATTACTAGTGGGAAGAGTTTTTAAACTTAAATTGATAATAAACTAATTTGCTTTGGTCATTAACGACTAGGTCAATTGTCAACGCACTAACTTGACCTTTTCTTCTACTTCTTCTTCTGTTTTTTTATTTTTTCGACCAGCCTAGTGCTGAATTCAGTTCTATAAATTTCAAAGGGGATTTGCTACATCATTTGCAAATTGTGCAGCGTTGTAGCTGCAAGATTATTAAGAGTGTCTGTGCGCGCACACACACACAAAAGTCCAAAATATTGGCGAGTCCTTACTTAGTTAGGATTTTAGTTACTTACCATTTATCTAGTCATATTATAATTAAGATTTATTTTCTATTATAATTTATATTTATTTTCTATTGTAATTTAGATATATTTTCTATTGAATTTTTTCCCCTACTTTGTTTGACTCAAAATATGTCTAACTCCGAAATAGCTTTAGTTGTGGAGAACGGGGAAGAGAAATCTGAAGCAACTCTTCTTGCAGAGAACTCGAAAAAGAAAGTTGGAAGGTTAATTAGTTTCTTTAACTTTAACAGCATATTTTATTTTATTTTTTATTTTTTAAAATAAAATAAAAGGCGCCACCAATATAATTTTGCATATTAATTTGTTATTTCTTCTCCAGTAATCGTTATGATAAAAATTCGGGCAAAACTCGTCAATCGTGAAAGACGAACATGGATCAAGTAGAAAATGGTCACGAATACAGGAAATTCATGATCCTCCCCAGGAGTCTTTCCTTCAAGTGTGGAAGAAGATATTTGTAGCATCATGTTTGTTTGCGGTTGTACTGGATCCATTGTTTCTCTACGTTTCTATGATGAAGAATAATATCAAGTGCCTGCAATCTATGAAAGAAATAGCCGTGGAGCTTGAGGTATATTGCGCAATTTTATGGCAGTGGCAGAGCATCAAGGAGGGGAACCCAAAACAGACCAACCACTTCGCCACATTTAAATGACACGTATTAGTGTTGTTTCACCTCTGGACATTTGATGACTTGTGTTAGTTTCTGTTTATATTTGTGCTTATAGTTTTTTCTATGTCTACATATCATGTGAAATCATGTTGATGATGTTCAAATGGCAAGTTATTTAACTTATTTTCAAGCTGTATCTCACTATGTTGGACCGGTATAATATATCTGATAGGACAAAACTAGCTTTTATAATAATTGGCTGGTCTGAGATAGCAGTGGATAAGATAAAGCTTTGGAATGAATGCCCCTTATAATTCTACCACCCTCAGTTTCAGCCTTGTCCAAATTCCCCCTCTTTCTTAATCTCCCTTGTAGAAAGTTTTAATTAAATAGCAATTTGCGTGTTACACATGAGCTCTATTCTTTTTGTTTTTTTAATGGTCATCTGGGTCAGCAACCAGAAGATTATATATGCCCGGAATCTTTTATTATTATTTTTTTTTCTGGGGGTCATTTTAGCCACAATTATTGTTCACGGTGAAGTCGACCCTGATTCACTACACTATAGTAAGAGGGAAGACAAAAAAAGACTTGGGGATAAGGTTGATCGTATGTCAACACTAAGTCACAGATTATTTTATATAGCAAATAATTGTTGATCTAGACTCTAGTAAGGAGTTCATCGCATCTACTTATCATTTAAGGAACTTAAAAAGATTCCTAAAGGAGAGACCGGAGAGATTGTCATATGGGTTAAATGTTTTCTGAATTTCTTTATGTACTTCCTCACTAGTCATGTAAGTAGAAATATTTAATCTTGATGGATGACATTATTTGGTAAAAGACTAGGTTCTTAACTCAATCAGCCTTGATGAATGACAAATGTACATGGGGCAAAATTATCCATATCACAATAGAGTAGGCATATATACTAAATATTCTTGAGTTATGTTTTTGAAATACAAGAAATGAAATATTCTTTGTATTTTCATCATCATCTCTAAGTCTAATCTAATTATCTAATTTGTTATTATTTAGGTATTTGGAGCCATATGGTATTTATTTGCTGTTCAACAAATGGCCATTTATTGTTATGACGCATATGTCGAAAAGAAAATGGATGTGGAAATAGTACTTTTGGCTGTAATGAGCATCACACATTCAGAAATATCAAATTTCTTAATGATTTTTGCCCTATAAGTCCAATGAATACATCGCTCTTTGATTTTGGTATATATATAGTACAATCCTTCGATCTGGTATACCCATCTGGCAACAAGATGTTTAAGGTATGAAGAGGAGGAAATGCCTTCCATGAAAGAAGCAGTTCTTGTGGAGCTTTGAGGAATTGAGCAAATTTATTGCAGAGTATCAAAGTGGAGAAGCTAGTTTCTCTTGATCAAACCACCTTGTAACCAGAAAAAAACAAACAAAAAACAAGGTACGTACATTTGTTAGTTAAAGACGACTAACTATATACAGTAATTGCCTTTTCATGGTTGCATCAGATTCTTATGAACTGCATAACCACCAAGGATTTATTCACATAATACTTGAAAATTCACTACTCCCACCAAGGATTTAATTCAAAGGACTTTCATAGATTAGGCGCAGACCAAAACCCAAGCAGTAAAAAGTCAAGGATCTCATGATCATAAACCTGTAACAGCAAGCTCATGATTATTTGCAAAACTGTTTATAAGATGGATTAAAAATATAAAAAAAGGATGATGCTAGAGGCACCAACTCTCTAATAGAGGTGGGGCCCGCCAATACACCGGGGCCCACGCTCTATTAGAGAGTTGGTGCCCAAAGTTGATACCCAAAGTTAGTGCCTCTAGTATTTTCCACAAAAAAAAGCGTTTAAATTTGAGTGAAATGAATTGGTGGTGTGAAATTTGAGTGAAATAAGTTGGGTATTTATAAGGAAAAAAGTGTCTAAATTAAAAGAAAGAAAAAAAAAAAAGGAGCCGTTGATTTGCAAAACAAACAAAAGAGCTTTCTTCATGGCGGTTGATATCAATAACAATAGGCGTGTACACAATCCGGATTAAATCAGTTTCACTTCAAAATCTCGACCGAATTAATTATAATATAACGATTTGGTTCGGTTTGATTTTGACAAAAATTATGAAGGAAATCGGACCAAATCAAACCAATTTAAGACGGTTTGGTTTTGTCGGATTGGGCCTAAGCCCAATTCTCCTTCTTGTTGCATTTTTTCAACATTATTAGCCTAATCATTTTCTAGAGTATGAAACCATCCTAAAGCTCAACATGTCATAAAACTTCAAATTTCATTAACTAATATAGCTCATTTCAAATATCCATATATAGTTATTACATAATTAAAGATTTATACATGTAAAACAAAGCATAAATATATACATAAACGGTCCTGTTTGATTTAGGTCGGTTTATAAAAGCTCAAAATCAAATTAAACTAAAACATATACGGCCTGATTCGATTTTTAAACTGTTTTGACTTCTTTTTTAAAATCAAAATCAAACCAAACCGATAATTAAAATTTGAATGGACCGATTTCATCAATTCTGCCATATTGAATTTTTTATTTTGGAATGGGAGAAGTCTTTGCTAGGCTTTCTCTTGAGGCTTGCTCGGGTTTTATGAGCTTCAAGCATTAGAGCCCAAAACAGCTCCATTGGGGATGGTTTTGTGGCTTCAGTTTGTAATTGTTGCAGCCCCATGAATGATAGGGTTTAGGGTTGTTCAGCTTGATTCCAGTGGAATAAATAAACCCATGCTCGTGTCCTTTATGGGTGATAATGATATTGTGCTTCTCATCTAAGTCTTTGATATTTTTTCTTTAATATAAGCAATAGTCTAAATTATAATGGAGAAAGATTTCTCACACACATATAACTGATGTTTTAGAGATTCGAACCTCAAATCTTTAGTTTGTAAGTCAATGCTCTTTTAACTAGGCAAGATTCCATTAACAAGTCCTCGGCATTTAAAATTTAAAAATAAAAAATAAAAAATGAACGCAATAAAAACAAAGGAAATAATTAAATAATTAAATCCAATTATGCACATCAAATGGGGTCGTAGTGTCAACAAAGTAGTCGTCATTTTATTATTTGCTTTTTACCATCAAATAATGGAGACGACCGGATGTTGACTCATGAGCCCATCCCGACCCGTACCAGTCTTTCTAACAGGCTTTCATTTTCAAGCCTCAATTATTTTAAAGCTGTATGTCACTATATCAAATAATAGAGACGACCGGGTCGATATTTTAATAAAGTAGGCACGTACTGCATATTCTTCACCTATATTTGCAAAAACAAGAATGTATCATATCATTAAGTTCTTTCAAGTTAGGTATGTTTTCCATTTCTTTTTGTTACAGGGGAGGATTCAAACTCTAGTCTTAGGTGTAAATATTATGTACCACTTTGGGTAGAAAAAACCCTTACATCTATTTTTCAAAGATGAAGATAAGGATCACGTGCTAAATAATTTTTATTCTTTATTTCCATAATTCTGATTAATTAACTTGATATTCTTTAGGTACTTGGTGCCGTGTGGTGCTTTTTTTCTGTTCAACGTATGGCCACTTGTTAGCATAATGCATGTCGCAAAGCAAATGGATGTAACACCAGTACTTTTGGATGTCATGACCATCACACAGATAGAAATATTACATTTCTAAATTATGTATGCCCTATAAGTCCAGTGAATACATCGCTCTTTGATTTTGGTATATATATTACAATCCTTCAATTTGGTATAATGGGATAAACAAATTATTTTCAAAAGTTCTCAAATTGCTTTTGGTGGGGACTGCGAAATTTGAGGTTTGTATATTATTTTTTTGTCGTTTTGTTCAGTCGGAAATCGATTTGCTTAATTTGTTGGAGAGTAATATAAATTCAATCAGCTTAATTTGTTGGAGAGTAATATAAATTCAATCAGCTTAATTTGTTGGAGAGTAATATAAATTCAATCTCACACATCCAGACCTAAAGAAAAGTTCAATTTTGTATCTAATATATTTCGCCATTTCATTTTTCCAGTTCTCTTGGTTCAAATCTTGAGCCTAGCGTGGATGGATGGGAGAACCTCTTTGCAGCATTCATCTCTATAATTGGATTGCTTTTATTCTTATATCTCATTGGAAATTTGCAGGTTTTTACTCTCTTTTCTTTTTTGGGTCTGATATTTTATTTCTATATGCATATTGTTGGCTTTTTTTTCTTTCTAAAGCTTGAGTTGGCTTTTGATTGGGAAAGATAAATAAGTAATTCCTAGTTAATGACTGAGCTACTTGTGTTGGCATATATAGACATACATGCAGTTGGATACTCAAAGAATAGAGGCGCATAGACACAATATGAAAATGGAACAGAAGATGGAAGGGAAAGGTCGCGAGATAGAGTTGTGGTTATCTGAAAATGGCATCCCCAAAGAGATGCATAATATGAAGTCGAAGATCATGAACAAGGTACGACAAGAACTTGAAGAAAACAGGGATGCCGATTTGGACCATATCATCACTACTCTTCCCAGTGAAATTCAGAAGCATATTGAAAGTTGTACGCCTATGGCTAGGTTGAAGCGAGTAAGTTCCTCCAAAACCATGACTCTAATAATTACTAGCTGCCTTTCCATAATAATTACTAGCCGCATTTAATAATAACTTGTTTTTTTTTTTTCCCGGATAAAAATAACTTGTTTACTTAAGCAGTGTTATATAAAGATTGAGTGAGACGTGGGTGAAATTTTGTAAACCAAAGAGTAATAAGAGTAAATCTGTAAAACAAGTAATTAAACAAAAACTAACAGATTAGTATAATCTCTAAGGGGAGATATAGTGAAACTTTCAAAATACCTACACACATCCTTAGTTTATAATACAACACATCCTTAGGTCAAATTAGTATAATTAAATAATTAAATAAAAAGTTATATATATATATATATATATGATTGTAGATGAGAAGCATGAAAATTAAGGAACATCCAAGCCATTGCCAATTGCCATATATGAATCTCACAAAACACCAAGATCACATTAGACTCAGATCTAGAGAGATGCGACTAACAATATTCTAATTACTATTCACTACCAAAAAAAAAAAAAAAAGGTGGCAACAGTCACCATT